TCTTAAATATCTGATAGTGAACATATCTGGTATATAACTGAAGGAATACACTGGTTAAACAGTATGAGCAATCCTAGGCCTTCACTCATGCTATTGCGAAATTCATTACTATAAGTTATGAGCCACATAAAACTGAGAACTCGCTTGTTAAAAACTGATGGTCTATACTGAATGGTTAAAAGCTCATTAACGAGAATTTATATTATAATATTGTGAATATTAAATCAATTATGTTTAAATGTAATTAAACATATTTATTTTCTTTAAATTAAGAGAATAAATTAAAACAAACATTAGAATTAGAGAAATGGTTTCTGTAAAGAAATGCTTAAAATTCATGCACAAATATACTTTTTTTGAAGTTATATCTTCTGATGTATGAATAGAATAATTACTATTAAGGAATAATGTTTATTGATTTATACCTGTTTTCCAAAAACTTCATATTCAAAATGATTCAAATAAATATGGATGAAAACAGACCATAAAAGTAGACATCAAATTATAAATCATCCTTCCCATTCATATTTTTTAAAAAAACAAGACATTAACATGACAAAATGTCATTAAGTTATTGGAAACGATAAAAAAATGTAACAATTCGTTCCAGATACTGACCCCAGATATTGAATGATGGTCACAAAAATGGTAGCTATATCAATGTCACCAATTCTTGGTGGTGACTTCATTAACAGGCATTAACATGCAAAATGTCACCACCTGCCATTTAAAACAGATGCCGAATGCCAACCACCAAACGCTGACTATCGAACAAAGTTGGAGACTATATAACAATATGTCCCCACTTGTGGAAGTGACAAGTGCTTTCCCCAGCATTACACCAAGAAAAAATAAATGTTGCACTTATCTAAGTAAACTAGGGCATCTGCTAGACTATATACTGTAATGTATCACTCATGTTGTCTGACCTTCAACATAAACATAAACTTTACCTCAAGCAAAGATAAAAACTCCGAATTGATGAACTTTTTTATTTTATCAAAGACTCTGACTATTAACATTATTTGGACTTTGATTTTGTGAAAATGTTTAACTTTGTCATATTAGGGTGTTTAAGAATGATTATAAGTAAATGACTCGAGGCCGTCGTTTTTAATGAAGTATCTATTCTCAATCTGTAAGGTCATACAAATATAACAAGCTGAACACTTTATTGAATCATATCCCAAGATATAGTATTAGCTTTCTTGGGGTATTCAGCAGAATTAGAAATTAGGCATTAATAAATATAAAAAGAAAATTAAAAATTATTGAACATTTTTATATAAGAATTGTCGCAAAATTCTTCAAAACAACTGGTGATTTTCTTCAAAACAACTGGAGACACTTGGCGTTAACATGACAAAATGTCTTCAATAGTGAGTAGAGTGTAAAATGTAACAATTCGTTACAGAAGCTGAATGTCAATGCTGAATGTGAAAACAAAAATGGTGGCTATATCCGTATATGTCCAGCCTGCGAAGTTCATGTTTGACATCGACTATTGGCTGAACAGAATAACAAATGGCTTGTTTTGTTACAAGATCCTAAACATTTTGGCAGATCAGACATTTATTTGACATTGGGTAGATCATACATAGTACATGTACTTACATTTTAATGTGGAAATCTTCCATACTCTCCACATTTTCAGCTTTTTAAATGTTAATTTGATGAAAGTTGAAGATTATTATTTTCATAAGCTTACAAAGGCGCAACAATATATTACGCAACTTTTGATTGGCTCTTGAAGGGACAATGATTTAAATTTGCAATCAATTACTTATCAAGATAATTTTCTCTTTTGGGTATTAAAACTTTTTAAAAAATATTGTTGCAAGTGCTATTAATTTTTCAATCACAAGTGCAGGGAATTACGATTGGTTAAAATTATGAGGCTAGTGAGAGTCAATTGAATTGATATGGGAAATTGGCCTGAGAAAACATGAAATGTCTGGTTAAAATATGGCTGACCTGCCAAAATGTCTTATCTAAACAATCACAGGGTTCTCCACAGGACTTTTTCATGAGTGGGTGCAAAATTCTCATTTTCACAATTAAGACCAAAATTGGTCAAAATTTCATGATTTTTCTCAAATAGATTTTCAGGTTTGGTGCAAGCTTGTTTTTAAAATCTCATGTGGGTGCTGCTGCCACTTGCTTTGATGCTGGAGAGATCACTGAATCATATTGCCTGTTGCTCATGAACTTCTAAGTTTGCATTAAAATGGACGGCAGGCATTAGCTAATAAAACACTCAAAAAATTGTATTCCTGCATCTTTTAACAAGTAATTACTTTCAGTGTTAAATTTTGTATACAGATCAATGAAATTACCCATGGCCTGGAAATTGAATGTCGATGAATTTCCAAAGAACTCACTGATAGAATTGGACATGTCCATTTGCAAAATTCATGAGTTTCACTTGCAGAATTCATTACACTGTATTTCTACTTAATTTGGTGCTACTTGTTTTGGCGAATTTGCTGTTTTGAACATTTGGAGACTACTTAATTTGGCGGACTTGTAATATTGAAATGTGTATAGAATACAAATTTACAATTGAAATATAAAATATTGAATTTGGCGACTACTTAATTTGGCTGACTTTAACAATTTGGCAAATCTGCCAGATCAAAGCGGCCACCAAATTAAGTAGAAGTACAGTATTCTAACTTGAAATAAATCGAACGAGTGCATAGGCTACTCAACAAGTAGTATGTAAAAAAACAATACTAATCTTCTAACTACATGTAGTTCAATCATCTCTAAACTTTAAACTCAATTCTCATTGATCAACCCTTGAGCTAGAAAAAATTATTTCAAGTACAACTTTTTAACTTTAAAACAAGAAAAACTTCAATATTGCACCTTATAAACATTGAAACTGTCAAATAAAGTTGCCAACTTCCTTATATAGCTACAAACCTTTTATTTCTAGGTAAATGAAGCACAATATTTTTTTTAACACAAATAAAAAATCTAAATTAAGTGATAGATGTTAGAGGTGGCTTACAATAAAAGATACACTTAAATGCAAAATGTAGAAACGAAGTATTTCAAATATTCATCGCGAAAAGCACAGATTTTTCACGCCAACAATTTAGTTGTGCCATCTATTGTCAGAATTTATTTCTTCCCATCAAAATGCCGTAACATGTTGAATATTACGTGAAAGTTCAGTATAACTTAAAGCCCATGGTTTAACTAATATAACCCGTTAAACATTCTAATTAAAAAAATGTATCAAATATCAGTTCTAAAAATGATCCACTAAGAAATTCTCCAAAACTAAAATGTACATTGTACAAAATAAAGATGTACATGACTGACAAAGACTTGTCATGATCTGTTCCATATTTTATTTGTTTTATTACATATTTATTACATAATTTCTTTTATAAAGTATTGTGATCAATAATATCTAAATTATGATTATTGATTTGTTGTTAACTTAAAAGTTGAACCATGATTATCATTATAAATCAATATTCAAGCATATGAGATGACACTACCTTTAGTCCGTCTCATTAAAAATATGTTTTTCAAAAATAAATTATTTTGATTTCGTAATATTGTGTAATATTTTAGGGTTTGTTTTTAATTGGATTTTAGGAGATTTGCATATTTTACAGGTAAAGACCTTCCAAAAGTCTTTAGAAGTCAATTGTTATGACGATGGCATAACAATTCCATAATTATAATGTCTGATTCAATAGTTTTTGTCTTGTTCTAAATGATAGAAAAAATAGAAGATTTCAAATTAGTTCTGCATTAAGTCTGTTGTCGCCCCCCCCCCCCTTCCCTTATAGCTCCCCTTCCTTGAGAGATCCAAGGTTAGACTAAACAGAAACATGTCTCTGGACTAAAATGTGGCACGTGTGATTTAAACTGTGACAGCCTTCTGGGTGTATCATTTAATGGGATGATATCGTCATGATACAAAAATACAATTTCTGAACAGTTTTTGAAAGCCTATGTTGTGGACCAAGTAACTTTATCTTCCATGTTAGACATTGTGTTGGTTGTTCTGCAGCAGATTGTTATTCTGCATGGTTACTTCCCGTGACACATGTGCATTCAAAGTGGGCGGAGCCACATCAGAGTCCCATCTATTTCATCATATGTCAATGCAAGATATCGTGTGATCAAAATTTAAACATCCAACCATTTCTGAATGAAAATTTTTTACATCTTCTCATGCATCTACAGTTGGGGACATAAATAAATGACAGGTGGATTTGCTGAAGTGAGGATTTCCCATGTTAAAAATAAGAGAATTTACAAGAGGCCATAAATCAGTGGATGAGATTATACGAAATGTAAAATATACAAATTTTAAGGGATATGTATCTAGACAATATTGGAAATTATGGGCTTTCAGACCACCATAATTAGGAAATGGTAATCGAAAATCGACCTGTCATTTATTTTTGTCCCCAACTGTACAGTTGTTTTTACAGGATAATTTAAACTGTTACCTTATCTTCATCATCATCAAGTTTAGGAGAGTTGGAGGCTTTCTAACCTATAAAATTCTCCCATATGTTCTATTTATCAAAATTGAAAGTGTTCGAAGTATTGTTATGTCTTAGCCTAGATACCCGTGAGAGTAGGGATTAATTCATCTTTGAAATAAAACACCTACATGTATATGGTATTTTTGAAAAACTAAACCAACTGCGTTTGTATGTTTACACAGCATTAGATTCCTTCTTTCCTCTCGCAAGAACTAGGCCTAAATAAAATAGTCACAATTTCTCCTTTTAGATGGCGCCTGAGACTTGGGTCTCAGATGGCGCTTCAAATTCCTGTACCCTCACTGCTACCAATAGTCTTGACCTACTGTGTTTCCAACTGACGCAGTTTCATAAATAGCAACCTGTGCCATCATTTTTTGGAAAACTATGGTAATTTGAGGATAGGGTCATTGAGGACACACAGAAGGAATGGATGAAGAAAAAAAGGAATATAAAAATATAAAAACATAAGTCATTTACCTTCTTTTAGGAGCACAGGTACCAGTCATTCCTGATTCTCTGTATAAGTTATATATTGTTGTAGTATTAAATCCTATAATTTATGTATTTCTTGCGGTAAATACTCCAATATTTGTCACATTTTAGACAGAATTTTCTTCACTTTTTAACTTTTTTATCTGACGTCAATGGGAGCATAACGAGTTTGCTATTCCATGTGTACTTTTATTTCCACAGTTCTCCCGGGGTTTGAATTGCAACAGACACTTGTTATTGCAACAAGCGTTGCAATGATGAACACTGATAAATTAATTATCTGCAGTATTTAGCAAAATAGTGTTTGGCTGACATGTATGACTCTAAGTCTAAAACATGTAAAGTCTCATATAGACTAGCCTAGTTTGAAGCACAAAGGGCAACATTTGTAAAGTATAACAATGTACTCTTTGGTACTAAGTGACTTACTTTATAGGCTTTATATGAATTATTTTAATCTTGCTTTGCTCTGATGATTCAAGGATACCCTTTATCAACCAATCAGAGCAATCACACTTTCACGGAAAGGGCAATCAGCGAGAAGTTTACCTTTTTAGATCACTTTATTTCAATCATGCAAGTGTATTAACTTTTATTTTCATAGTTAGATGGCACTGTGATCTTGGAAAGTACTATCCTACCCAACATTTATTTAGGGATTCGGATATCAAATCATGTCACAATAATAAGCAAATGACATGTACTCGCATGTCCTGTGTTATACCTAATTCACCATGTGGGGAATAAAGACATTTAAAAAGGTGTACATTCTACAGTTGAATGTGCACAAAAAATGCCAAAAAGATAGGAGTGGAAGCCATAGATTCGTGTACATGTGCAAAAAATGAAACTCGTAAAAACCTGGCACAGATTGCCTTTAATCTACATTAACAAAAAATTGAAAACCAAAATGTCATTCAAACATTTAATCAAAACATTGTTTGCCTTGAATATATGGTGTAAATATCCACATAAAATTGTGAAAAATAATACTTATTTCTTGGAAATTACATAAAAATTCTCACCTTAACATGGTTATTAAATATCCATTGTAGCAAATGATCAGTAATAATTGAGCTAGCTGCTTCTCCCTAACACAGGGTGTTCCTTAAGCCTTTGCACTCACTAAAAACTTTATATTGTAAATTGTAGAAAATTTATGGACACCCTATATATAATCTCAGTATGTTGGAAATGTATTTCTATGAATACATGCATAAGAGATTTCACTTTGTGTAGTTTCATACTCATTGTTGGCTCTTGGAATGTAAAAAAATCAATGGATCAGGCTTTTGTTTTTACATTTGAATGTAATGTATGCTAATCTACTTGGCTCAATGTTAAATGATTTTTCTTTCCACTGTAACTATCACAGAGTTCTGATCTGGAAAGTTCCATTGAGTTGTTTATTATTCCTGGGTTAAACATAAGATATGGTATAGTTTGTAAAATGATATTCTGTGAACTTATGTTGAGGTTGAGGTAAAGAAATAAAGGCAAGTAAGTTTGAATCACAAGGAAAACTTTTGTAGATTCCAATCTCTATTTTCAAAATTGCTATGCAAATCCATGGGCCTTATAAATTGGGCCCATAAAATATTTGGGCCAAAAAAGGCCTTAATGGCACAATAAGTAGGCCATTTCTAGCAAAACTGGGCCTTTTTTTAATTTTAGGCCAAATTCTGAACAAAATGGGCCTTAAATTTTCAAAATTTGGGCCCACTTTTAGGTTTAAGGGGCCCAACATTTTTTTTCTAGCAAGCGCAGAATATTTTTTATCAGACTTGAACTTTGGGCCCCCCTTGTGGGTTCCCAGATCCGCCCCTGGTGGTCAATGGGCCCAATATCAGAATATGGTATTTAGTTCAGTTGCCAAATAGTTTTGTAGTAGAAAGATTTCTTGCATTTTTTGGACACCTCATCATGTCAACATAAATATTAGCAAATTCATAATTTCATTGGGAAATATTTTTAATTAGGAGTTACTTTTAAGGGGGATTATAAAAAAGGTAAATGCATGTACTGTAAAACCTTTATATCTGAACACCTCTTTAATCTAAACAGCTCTAAATGTGAACACTTTTTACCTCATTTTTAAAGTGCCAATATTACAATTTTTAAAATGTCAAAATGAGAACACTTCAGATGAGAAAGGTTTTCTAGTATTTTAATGGCTCTAGTAATAAGATAAAATAAATATATCAGTGAATGTTAAGTACTGTATTTATATTTCAATGATAATTACATAAAATGAATTCAACAAATTGTTATTTGTTGATGTTATGACTGGCACTGGCTTAAATGTGACTGGAACATACTTGTATTGTTTTGCCAATGTGCACCGTGTAGCATAATGTTTTCTGAACTTTATCCAAGACATTTACACTATAAAACTGATTCCTATATCTCCAAATCAGTATCAAATACATCTACTGTGTTCTTTAATTAATAGAAGGGCATTTTCCACTGTGTATAAAAACAGACTAATTATGCTTAAAAGGAGAATACTGGAACATCATACATGTTTATATTATTTTCATAAAAAATGAATACATATAGCAATTGTAATATGTGTACCATTTATTGAGGAATATGGTATGGTTTGTCAAAATGTGACTTCTTTTGAACCTAAAAGACATTGGTTATTCCAAAGTGATAATACCAAGTGAAATAATAAGTTGTAACTTGTTACACAATGGCAAAGGTTACAAAAGTAAAACTGTACCATATTCAATATCTTATTTACTGACATTACTGACAATGTAAAACACACTCAAAGCTACTTACACCATGGTAACAAGCTACACGTATGCCATCTTTATAATAAAGTACAATTATTTTAACTAATATATGAGAACTGTTTTTGTACAATCATGTCTTGGTTGAGGCTAAATGTGTCAACTCATGTTACAATGCTGTCAACTTATGAAGTTGGGCACAGTTTTCTATCAAAAACACATTTACAAAATTTGTGCTGTCTGTTTCAAGTCTTCACACTCAGATAACCATCCACATTGACAATGACCGATACTTCCAACATGCCATAGCTAGGTATACATGTTGCAATACAGTGAAACTCGTAAAGTGGAACACCTCTAGAAGTGGGACACCTCTGTTAGTGGAAAACTTCAGAGTGCCAAGACCAACTGACTTAATGTTAAATAGACCTCTATAAATGGAACACCTCACAAGTGGAACACTTTTCAGAGGTACCAAAGGTATTCCTCTTAGACAGGTTTTACTGTACATGTATTACATAAGAAGTTAAATATGACAACTGACATCTACATCATGTCATACAATACACCAAATGGCAACTGTACAATATCTGAATATTGCAAATGTGAATATAAATCACTGGATCCACGTGGAGTCGTGGTCACAACAAATTTCAGCTACACATTTTTGAAAGAACCATGTACATGGATGGGAAGAATAAGGGTACTCTAGGGTGAAGTTCTCCCTTTGTATTGCTAACTTGCCTGATCCCCATCATGGTGTTTATTTGTCTGATTGAGTATAAAGTCACAAGGAAAATAGTTGCAATTAGCTCCATGAAAATAATCCCTAATCTAATCCCTGGGGGTCATAATTTTCATGTACAAGTTCTCTTAAAAACATGTAGCGTAAACTCCCTAAAATCAGTTTTCTTGGTAAACTATGAAAGATTAATGTGATAAAATTTGAGATCTTATATTAGATAAAAATGACAATCATCCTAAAATTAGACAATATTTATCTTATCTTGCCATACAAATTGTGATATACAATTGAACTTACCCAAAGTACATGTCAAAACACATGTAAAGTATGTATTTTGAAAGCTGATATTTCGCAAGAACCAGAAATATCTGGAATTTAAAACTAGAGATTTTTGTTTCATGTTTATTAAAAGATGGCGGATGTGTCTTCAGTGTGGAATATATTTTAACATGTACATTGAACACTTCTGTTCAACAGAGAACTTTCAACTTCCACCAATCGGGGTGACCTCATCTTAAATTGTACATCTCATACTTGCAAGGCATGTACTGCTACAAATTAACAAGGCATTAACATTCAAAATGTCACCACCTGCCATTTGTTACAGATGCTAACCACTGCATACCAAATGCTGAACACTGTCCACAAGAGCTAGAAACTAAAACAGTTACAAAGAATCATAGTATTTTTCTATCTTTCTTCCAGCTCTGTCAATGCTCAACCCACCTTGAATTTAAATCTCTGAACAGACAATTTAATAAAACAATTATGTTAAAAAAAGCCCTTATAAAACCACAAAAGTATATTCCACAATGCAAATTTCCAATTTCCACACATACCATATTCTTAGTGAAACTCCATGTTTTCAAAATATATACGATCATGCAAAGTCATCATTCCTTATCTATGTATATCCTGTCCAATCATAGTTCCATCATATTTCCATCTATATTTCCAAGCTGTAATACATGTACATGTCTTTCAATGCAATTTACTTCCAGAAGCGGAGCTCTCATATTATCATTTCCATCAATGTAGATAGCCTGTTCCTAATTTCACTTCAATTGGCTCCTAATTTCAATTCAATTTACTTATAGCAGGATGCTGTCACTTTGTAATACTGTCATGAATATGTAAGTGTCACCAGCAATTTCACTAGATATCATCATGAACACATTATGTCTCTTGTGTATCTTAAACTATATACTTATATACCTTATACTAGTAGTATATTTATAGCCAATCTTACAACATGTAAGAACGTTACATTTTGGGTCTTTTAGTCATAACTATAGAGGACCTCCATTTCCATCATTCACTGGTGTTTTCCTATTGCTAGTCCTGCAAAATGGGAAAGAACAATTCTAAGGTTGTGTATTAACATGACTTGTGAAAGTTTATAAACAAGTGACAAAAAGATGCCCTAGAAATTGAAATTGAGTTCAAATATTATCTGAAATGCATAAGTCATTGTAGAAGCTAAGGTATTAAGGCAAACTAAAACTTAAATTAAACGGTAACTATTGTAGTTTTATTTGTACATTGTAAATATGTACAACAGCAACAATATACATATTAAACATTTCAGAGAAAATTGACTCTCCTTTTGAATATTAAAGGGAATCATCTGATTTTAGAACATGGTTACTGCAATTCTCACAATTATAAATACAAATATGAATACAATTATGATGTGCCAAAGGTAAAGGATCAATAATAGTTCCAGAACACAGCTAGAAAATGAAAACATTCGAGAGTACACCAGTTATACTTGAAAAAAAGTATACCATCATAAGGAAAACAAACTCCAACTATCCCAAACCATGATCTAACATGAAAAGAATGTCTTATTCCTCACTCCCCTACCAAGGTATTTGAATGTGAACCACATAAATGTTCAGTTACATATCTACAAATGTATATGTTATATTTGTATATCTACAAATGTGAAGCCTGTAAAATAGTCGTGAAATTGTCATATAAGAAAAACATGTTTAAGGAAATTCCAGAGTAAATTCTCTTTAAGATGTTATATGATACATTAATTATGTACCATAGAATAGTCATTGTTGTAGAAGATGCCTAGGTTGCCATTGTATTTTAACGCCCTGTTTATGACTTGTAGATCTCTCATCCAAGAACCATGAAAATTTTCTCATGTAAAATACTTAGATCAGTTTGCAGAGCAACAGCTTGAAAATGAAGGATCTAATGTGGATACGCATACTTACCAGATCAATCTTGAGGTACCAGTCTCAAAAGTACTTAGTTTAGAGGGATAATCAAGGATAATGTGGATATGCATACTTACATGATCCATCTTGTGGTACAAGTCTCAAAAGTACTTAGTTCTATTCAGAGCTTTACTGGCATAGTTGTCATCCATCATGCGGTCCCAGTTGGTCTGACCAACAACAAAGCCCAAGTTGCGTTCTCGTTTCTGAGCATGCTGTTCCTCTATATCAGCCCAGCGGACCTGCAATATAAACACATTTTTTGAATATAGAGGAAAACTAAGAAGACCCCTCCTAGTAAGGTTGAATGTTTGACGCGAACAGAAGAAACAAATGTGTAAGATTATATGTGTGAAAATTATAAAGCAGTAACATAATGTTTATTGATATTGAATTAATATGGAAATGACTTTGTTTACAATGGCACTTGAAATGATTCTAAAACATGAATCAAAAATTCCATCTGCACTCTCTGACTAATACCAATGAATTGTAGCTATAATACAGTATTAATGGTAAAATTCAGTATTTCTGTACCATTTATATAATGACCTACGTATTTTGCTGTTTGTCCTTTTATAAAGCCATGTGCCCAACTGTATTCAACTACATGTACACTTACCCTTTTCTTTCCCGGTTGTGATTTCCTAGTGTTGTAGTCATCAGGTAACTGCAGGAAGTCCTCCATCCTCTGTGGCTGGTCCTTGTGTTCCTTCTTCTTTGTCACTCCGTCCAGCTTGTCTGCAAACACATAGCAATGGCACATGTATATTTATTGGCCAATAATGTCATTTCTATGGTAGCATCGCTTTATCAATAATACATTTTATACAATTTAAATATCAGATTGGTGGCTTTATGTCAAATACATTACTAGCAACAAGAAAAAAAATGTATATGCTGATCATTAGATCTAGACTGAAGCTGATCTGAGATAGAATAGTAGAATAGCAATAATGTCATCGTGTTATTTTCTTGCTCTTCTCCACGGCAATTATCATAGCATGAGAGCAAAGCAATGACCACTTGGTGCAAACATATATTGTGAATAACTGGAGCTCAGGTCATAATATAATATATAAATTGGCACTGACTGCATACAGTCATACACACAAGACACAATTATAACAAAAATAAATGTAGAACAAAGTGCTGCAGGTTAGAAATTGAGAACGATACATAAATCATCACAATAAAATATATGTAGATATAAAATTATGTAGCTAAACATACTTCTGTAGTACAGTTGTTTAGGTGTGTACTGTACATAATACATACTCCTACTCAGAGATATGAATTGTACACAACATGTTCAATTTCATTTCCTTAACATCCACTTACCATGATATGGAAAAATTAACTGCAATGACATTGTTAAATATCAGCAACACTGTGATAAAATGGTTAATTTTCAGCAACACGGTACGGTAAGGTGAAAAATTTAAGCACCATGGTAAATGGGGAAAATGTAACACCATGATAAAAATTAATGTGAAATCGAGGTCACAGTTACACTAGATGGTAAGGCAATGACAGCCTGGGAGGCTAGTGATCTAATATAAGTGCGGCAAACCTTAGGATAAACCCATTTTTCATAAATATTTGTTTGAAAAAACCGATTAGGCATTTGTATAAAATATTCTCAGAAAAACAGTAGATCAGTGAGGTAACAAATTAAGCCATCATGAAAACTAGAAAACACCAATTCTCCGGAGTGGCAAGTCTCACCGAATAAAACATATTTTATCAAATCACTCGTGATTTTGAATTTAAGAACCATGATCTCCAAAACCTGTCGATTTTAAATTGAAGGCCATTTTCAAATATTTCAAATTCAGCATCCATATTGGAAATAGATCAGATCTAAATCAGAGGTAATAATCATGTAAGGCATTATGAGTTATCAAGGTTGTATTTTTGACAAAATAAGGAGGCCATTTTGAATTCAGAAGCCATTATGAAAATTCCTTCTTGACCAGATTCAAGACATACGTATGTCCCTATTGCATCAGAAGCTGACATTTTGAATTCAGTGGCCATACAAGAAAATCCTTCTCAGGTAGAAACCCTAATACCCATGAGGCATGAGTCTATAAAATTTGGATAACAGGTATTTGAGTTATCAGAAATTAAATATTCATTCTGAAAAGGGGGCCATTTTAGAAATAGCAGCCAACTAGAAAATTTTCCTTCTTGAGCAGTCTTATATGCTATAATTATGCCATAAGGCATCAGCATATAAAATCTGAACCAATTCAAAACAACTGGATTTGAAAAATATTTGTGTATGAAAAGCGCACCCGTTTTGAATATTAGCCATGTTGAAAATTCCTCCTCAACCAGAGGTTCTATTCCATAATGACATTAGCCTATGAAACGTGGACCAAAAACAAAAACAGTTTAAGTAATTAAGTAATAAAACTACATGGCAAATGATGTCCATTTTGAATTTAGTGGCCATCTTGAAAATTTCTTCTTTAGCAGAGGTTATATGGTCCCTAAGGCACCACCAAATAAAATTTGAATTGAAATCAACAGGAAATGAAAGATTCATATTGACTAAGAAAAATAGTGGCATTTTCAATCAATTGCAAAATTGGAAATTCATTCTTGAGCAGAGATTCTATGCCCATAAGGCACCAACTTATAAGTTTTGAACCGAATCTGTCAACCGGTATTTGAGTCACCAAGATGATTCATAGATGACTTGAACTTTGTTCAGTGGTAGAATTACCACTTGTTTGTTAAAACATGTACATGTATTTTTGAAATATTTAAACCGCTATCGATCGCTAAATAAGATATTTCATTGCATCTGTGTTTCCACTTTGTCTCCTTTCACATCTTGTCAGTTAGGCTCCCAAATAATTTCGCTGTATCAATGTTTTATCTATTTTCCAAAAATGTCTACCATCAATCGTTGTCATGCTATTGTTCAACAACTGTTGTGGTCAAGGCATTATTTCAGTTTCATCGGAATATCACTTGCTGTACACGACTTCTGTATTATACTTCAGTGTCCCACAATCATTTATGACTCGTTTGAATTCTGGTGAGTTGTAACTTCTGTTGTATGCACGTGGGCCAAATGATGCAGTAATAACAGCTACATCTATCACAAAACATATTCTTCTTAGGAATGGTATGAAACATCAATGCTGTCTTCTGTGTGTATCCAGTATCCATGTAATATCATCTACTAGTGTGTCGAAGAACGTTCCAAAGATTCAGATTTAATTATTCAGATGCTGATCATGTAAAAAAATATGTTTTGTTTTCAGGAGCTACTGACTCAGCATTCCCTCGCAGCAATATTATAGCAGATAGATGGCAGATGGTATATAACAGCAATGTCAAGGTGTAGCAAATGCTCAACCCAGCCATGGCTGCTATTTTTAGAAATGGCTGCATATTAGCCAAATTATCATTTAACAGTGAAATATGTTTTAATGTATTCACATAATAAATATTAACAAAATCACTCCACTACTTTTCTAGTTATAGCATCAACATTTTTTTTCAAAATCACCGCTCACTACCCAAATTACCATAAGAAAGTGTATTATGTTTCTAAGTAGTCACACATAAAATGAAAACAAAATCGCTCCGTAAATTTTTGAGTAATAGTAAAAACATATAATAATGTGTCATAAAGCAGTGTGCCATGCATATGAGTGTTCACATTTCAAATACAAATGAACAAAATCACTCCACTACTTTTCCAGTTACCGCAAAAATTGTAAAATTGCAGGTAATGGGAAGAATTTTTCAAGATGGGATATTAATAAAAAAAAATTTTATTTCTGGTGGGTCAAATAAACACATTTTGATGCTAAGTTGGGTCAAAATCTTATGTTGATGTTATAGTGGGTAAAAAATAACATTGATGTTATGGTAGGTCAAATAAATGGATGTTGATGTTACAGTAGGTCAAATAAAACACATATTTAGAAGATTGTGGATCTATCAAAAAAACACATTTGATTTTGATAAATATGATTATGTACAAGTGCTGAAGGGAAAGGACTTAAAATTGTTACAGCAATAAAAAAAATGATGATAGTCAAAAAAATTAAAATCGTAGGTCAAAAGACAATTTGATGGCACATTACCGTGGTCTTCCACTCCCTGTCTTAGTGTTTGCCATTTGGTAATAAATACCTTCCACATTGTGTACTCACTTAGTATGTAGATGGATTTATTTCGAGAGGGGTACTAAAATTGAGGTCAAGAGGTCAAAAGGGCAAAGGTCAAAAGTATAACATCATGTTTATTTTGTTAATATTGCTATTCATACAACGGATGAAGAAGGAAAGGTAACATTCAAAAAATTTATATGTCATATGAAAAGTAAAGGGGCCAAAATTGGCTTTAAAGTACGAAGGACATCAAAACTGAGATGTACAATATAAATATTCTTTGTATGAAGGTAAATTTATATTTTATTGGAGGTACATGTCTATAGTAATATTTTTAAAACACACAATGTCAATAAGATCATCAGATCAGATCTAGTGAAAAAATTATCAAAATGACATTCACTTATCATTTACCAGAAATGTAAAACGATGAATACTACCTCATTTTATAATAATTATAAGACAAAATATTGAAATTTGCAGACAGAGTCGGTTTTTACAAAATGTTTGGTGCATTAATGGCTTGCACGGCCTGTTCATAAGTTGGGAAACTTGGTTCACCAAACAAATTTGCAAAATATTTTGTATTTAACCTTACATATCTCCTTATACCTAATCTATTATACCAGAATGTAAAACAACAATTTCACAAGGGAATCTGTTTTATTTTGATTTTATGTACAATACAAAGGTACTAGAGAGATTTCTTTCGTAAGTGAAAGTACAACTTATGTTTATGCATATACCTAATTGTTATAGGTTTAAGAAAATTGAAATTTTGCATCTCGCAAAAAGACTTAGAAATAGAAGAGAATAGTATAGATATAATATAGTTTATCAATCAATTCTAATATTCTTTTCACAGAAAGTGAATAATATTCCTTGTCTATGCAGATTGAATAATAATATGACTTCATGCCAAGTATCACTTTGATTCCCTGCCGATAATTACGTCTAAATGAGATAAGGATTTACCTTCTTATAAACAACATTTTATAAGCAATGGCTTATGAAGGGATAGGGCGTCACGACAGGTGACGAGGTATTACAAAATTGTGATAAGTTATAAACATAAGGGATTCATAACCGTATTATAAGTACATTATGAAATCTATTATCAAAGAAATTACTCTTTCAATACCTATAACTCTTTCTACACCCCATACACATTTTACTACAAGAACACAAATGTGTACAAAATGTCCCCACCAATGGGTGATCCTGTCAAATGGTTATCCTGAAAATGAGTAGACAAGACTTTTCCAACACAATTTGAGGACAGAAATCCAAAATGGCCACCTTAAAATTTAGTCAGTTCTAGATTTTAATACTAAGAACCATCTCTGAAAATTTGAAATTGATCCGTCACACAATTAACCAGAAAACATGTAAACAAGACTTTACAGACAAGATTTCAAGATGGAAAATCCAAAATGGCTGCCTTGACATTTACCCAGAATGTCAAAAAACTAATCTGTTTCTAGATTTTCATACTAAGAATCATCCCTGAAAACATGAAAATTGATCTAGCGAACGGTTCACCTGAAAACGGGTAGACAAGACTTTACAGACAAGATTTTAGGACAGAAAATCCAAAATGGCTGCCTTAACCTTTATGCAGAATGCAACAAAACTAATCAGATGTAGATGTTCGTACTAAGAATCATCCCTGAAAATTTGAAATTGATCTACAGAATGGTTCACCTGGAAATGCGTAGACAAGACTTTACAGACAAGATTTTAGGACGGAAAATCCAAAATGGCTGCCTTGACATTTACCCAGAATGCCAAAAAACTAATCAGTTCTAGATTTTCATACTAAGAATCATCCCTGAAAATTTGAAATTGATCTACCAAACGGTTAACCTGAAAACGCGTAGACAAGACTTTACAGACAAGATTTTAGGACAGAAAAACCAAAATGGCTGCCTTGACATTTACCCAGAATGCCAAAAAAACTAATGAGATCTAGATTCTCATACTAAGAATCATCCCTGAAAATTTGAAATTGATCCACCAAACGGTTCATCTGAAAACGCGCAGACAAGACTTCACAGACAAGATTTTAGGACCGAAAAATCCAAAATGGCCGACAATAAAAAAGTTATTATGAGTTTTTGCTGATTTCTTTTTACAAAATTATCACATATAACTACTGTTAACATAGGCTTTTACATCAAAGTACATCTGAAATTAATTATAAAGCTACTAAATAGTTAAAGTATGAAAACTCAAAAACACCATTCAATATGATACAAAGTATTATCGTGCGCTAATTTTTCTTAAGACATTCAAAATGGCTGACATGACTGAGCTAACAGGTCCAAAACCTAATCAGATGTAGAATAAAGTGAGCTGAACAAGATGTTTAAGTTTTAAAAGCAACTGTGAAGTCGTTTTTCTTAAAGTTTGCAGACAAGGATTTTAGCATTTGACTTCAAAATGGCCGACAGGAAGTAGGTTTCGAGTTAAATTGTTTTCCTCCACATCTATATGCACTCATAAGTTATCCCTGAAAATTTGAAGGTGATATCTGAAGCGGTTTTGGAGAAAACTCCCGGACGGACGGACAGACGGACGGACGGATGGACAGACGGACGGACAGACAGTCGGACGCGCCTAGGCTGACAATATGGCCCCACACTATGTGGTGGGGACATAAAAAGCACATATAGATTTGAACAAATAATATTGATATTACAGTACAATATATTATTTACATATCCATATGTTTAGAGCTCACATTATTCATAAGTTGTGGGGTTACTTTCAAAATATTTCCTCATGAACTGGATAACCTGGTGAAAAAAGTACACTCCCTTACACAGCAAGATAAAACTTACACGTGCAGGCTTTTGATACAAAAGGCAGAACATGTCTGTATTTGCATGTATGATTACATGGGATTTGAAGTGTAGCATCCCTGCTCTACTTGTTAATTTGATAATTATGAAATACCAAAATCAGCCAGACACCGGAATCTGACTATGATAGGACAATGAAGATCGGAAATTATACCGGGTAAAAAATTCGACGCTGAGATTTGTCAATTTTGTTTGGCTTCATGAGCCACAGTGTCTAAAGTTTTCAATCCAATCTGGAATGGATGAGAACAAGTCTTTCAGTAGTTGTTGAGTTGTCTTGAATTTTTGGATAACATCAATCAAGGTTTCTTCGTTCTTCTGTTTAAGCTTATAATTCTAAAACCATCAGTGACTTGAAATAGTAGCGAAGTGTCATCTTCTCTGATATCTATCGTCAGTGGTCGTGCAGTTGAACATGCTTAGCTAAGGACTGGCACCATAACCATAGCAAATGGTTGTGAGTTTGAGACCCATGAGCTCCTTGCATTTCTTCATTTCTTCGGAGTTACCCATCTATATTCAGTCCCGTATAACTGCAGTTTCCTCTGATTTCTCAGTCCTCATAATCATTTAAATGTGATCGAATCGGGACTTTCACTAAGTAAAGCAAAAATGTGTTGAGCTTGATTTTGCACATTTGTATAGAGAGATACACCAGTCAGAAACATACTCTTGTTTGCGGCTTCTAAATTCATCTTCAACCTTTTGTCTATTTTGATATCCATTGGATTTACATATCATGGCATCCACGGCTTAAGTATCACTTTGGTCTACACACATGTAGACGCAACTGGTGAACACAACTACGATCGTAATAAATTTTAATAAAAAAATTTATTTCAACAAGACAAACCCGCAAAAGACGTTGAAAACCCCATTATAGGATTTACCAACACATAGTTTTTACAAGATTGGGTACAGGCCTTTAGAAATTGGTAAATGATAAGCTAGTTAGGGCAGCTATGTTACTATACAGCTATGATTCAGTTAAGAATGGTATGTCATTGGTACAGCACTACTTTTGGCAAATATTTAACATTTTTAAAATATATTAAGGTACTTACCAAGCTGAGCTTCTGAAGTGTCAAGCTCCCATTTGCTCTTCTTGTATCCCTATAGAGTGGTACACAGCAAAACATAATATTCTATACAGTTAAACCTAACAATAGTAAAATGCTCTTGGTGTGGAGGTTTGAAGTGACTTCTAGGTGCAGACAGAGTTCACTGTTAATGGCAAAATGTAGAAACAAAGCAAGTCAAATATAGGTACAGGGGTTTCACCAGATTTCTCATAACAGGCTAAATAAATGAAAACAAGAGGCAAAATTAATGGACATCATAAATCTAACATGAAAAAGTTGAAGTCCCCAAAAACAACAGGCGATTTTGTGAAAACAACCGGTGAAAATTGCCTGTTGCCTGCTGCTAATGAAACCCCTGAGATGTGTGTGAACCTTTGCATGTCCTTGTTAACCATCTGGGTTTTGATGCTGAAAATAGGGGATCATTGCAATATTCTGCTCATTTCAGCATTCTTTTCACTGGCCTATAATAAAAAAAGATAAATAAATAATAATAAAATCATTCATGTTTGACTAGAGGGGTTTAATAAGGAACAGCATCACAATATTCTAATGTCATACAGGAATGGATAAGAAAGCAACAAAAACAAGATATGGTCAAATTAATCTAAGGAAAACATTAGGAAATACAAATACAGCATCTACAAGTAGAAATCAGAAAAAATTGTATCAATACACAGTACTTTACATGTAACAGTATCCAATCAAAAAGCACCAGTGCCAACATTTGAACATAAAAATCATGTTGAATGTAACAAAGGGAAAGTTATTACATGGGCAAACATCTGAAAAACACAAAAAGTACAACAATGTTCAGTGATCTATCTAAAAAATAATATAGATATAGATATAGGTTCAAGGTATAAGGTTATTGTGATAATTTAAACTGAGTTAGTCTGGAAAGGAATGAGATGACCTCTTATACATCTGCCTCTGAAATGAATCTGTAAAAACCTGTCCAAGTGAACACCTCTCTCTCCCTTTAGTGAACACCCCTGACTGGCCTCTGTATAAATTACACTCACTGTAGTGTATACACCAACCATATGTGTTCACTATAAACAGGTTTTACTGTATATCCAAAAATTGTTAACCATTTCGTAAAGAAAAAAGCATTATATCATTGTAATTGATAGATTATTCCACTGCCACTCCAGGACTAGGCACCTGCAATTGTAAGTAAACACTAATTTAAATTCATGCAGTGATGACAGATGGGATACAATACAAAACCAGGAAACTTTGCACATCTTTATTGAACGATTTCAAATCATTGTCTTTGTTGTTGTTTTTTTGCAATGGAAGAAAGCAATATAAAATACAGAGAGAGTAGTCATTTGACATTTTAAGCCAACTTTTTTTATGAAATTTCTATTTGTATATATGGAATTTAGCAGTCATACATCCCTGATTATAGACCAGTAAATCAATTGATCTAGTTACTGTGACATCATGTATTATAATTGTCATTATCAACTGTATATAATTATGATTGATAGATGATTCCACTGGCATTCCATAACAGGATACATTTACACCTACAATATTAAGAAAATACTAATTTTAATTCATGCAATGATGGCGGATGAGACACAATACAAAACCAAGAAATTTTACACATATTTATTGATTGTTTTCAAGCTGTTGTTGTTGGCAAACTAATTCATTTTAGCAAAAGTTTTTTTGTAATTGAAAAAATAATAGGAATACAGGGAGGGTTGTTAATTGACATTTTAGGCACATTCTTAAAATAGTACTAAAAGTGACAGTATTCATTAGTACATATATACAACTTGATCATTTTTTGGTTTTTAGTTTCACATTATTGCCTTAATATTACCACTGCCATCTAATTTACTCATATAATTTTTTGGAGTTCCTTCTATAAAGATTTTGACATTTTCAGTTAAAATTGGGGATTTTGGTGTGGCAAAATGTTTATGTTTGTACCTGCCTTGAAGACAAGGAATGCACTTAAAGGTGGACTGTCTGTACTACAGTGATAGTGATGTACAGTGATGTACTACAGTGTTGTATTTGTTACTGCACACTCGAAAGTTTAGTTATAGTCTATGTTGAAAATAATTTTTAGTATAACTACAATGGCTTTTATTTCCTAGACATGGAATACTACCCAAGCTTGAAATAGTTGTATTTCTCTAATATTTCTAATACTTTATCGCAGTAGTCATAATCCATCTTACCTCTTGGGTCCAAAGGAGACAATTCTTCATTGATAAATAAATTCAACAAGTATATTTATGATGTAAATTCCGATGAGCAACATACAATAATTTCAAATATAATTCAAAACCCTTTAAGTGATCTGACAATGTATGATATAAACGATCGAGAAAATGTTGTGTGGTTCAAATATATACTTTGCCAGGATTTGAACCAGCTCCGCCTGAGTAAAAGTATTTTGTTGCATACCTCTAGGCCAATAGTAATTTTTTCAAAAATATAATCAATTTTAGAAAAAAAGTTATATAACCACACTACCACGCGGTCCTAACTTTGACTGTTAATTTGAATTTTTGACCTACCAGGTGCTTGAAAATCAGGGATTGCGAGTCTCATACTGCACCGTTTTTCTTCAAACTTATACCATTAAAAGCAAAACAAAATTGCCTTTCTGTTGGTGCATTACTTTATTGTAAAGAGTCCCTTGTTCTAGCAGCATTTTGGTCCCCAGCTGTTAGAAGGCCTTCTTACAGCTGGGAACCAAAATGCCGCTGGAAGTGGGGACTCTGTTTAAGAGAATAATGTACCAACAGAAAGGGATTTTTGTTATGCTTTGAATGGAACAAGTTTGAATAAAAACGGTGCAGTATGAGACTCGTAATCCTTGATTTTCAAACATCCGGTAGGTCAAAAATTCAAATTAACGGTCAAAGTTAGGACGTGTGACTACAATTATTAGACAAGGCATTAACATGACAAAATGTCACCACCTAAAACAATTTGGTCAATTTAAAGCAAGTTGGAAAATACCTTTTGACCTTGAGAAGGTCATTCAAGGTCAAAGGTCAAATCTAAAGTCAGATTTGAACTTCTGAGAACTTGTAAAGTCAAATTTGAACTTTTGAAAAGATGTAGATGATTTTGAAAAAAAAATTTGGTCAATTTGAAGCAAGTTGAAAACAGACCTTTTTGACCTTTTTTGACCTTGAGAAGGTCATTAAAGGTCAAATGTCAAATCTAAAGTCAGATTTGAATTTCTGAGAACATGAAAAAAATTAGTCAATTTGAAGCAAGTTGAAAAAGACCTTTTGACCTTTTTTGACCTTGAGAAGGTCATTGAAGGTCAAATGTCAAATCTAAAGTCATATTTGAATTTCTGAGAACATGTAGATGATTCTGAAAAAAAAATTTAGTCAATTTGAAGCAAGATGAAAAAATACCTTTTTGACCCTTTTTGACATTGAGAAGGTCATTGAAGGTCAAATGTCAAATTTAAAGTCAGATTTGAATTTCTGAGAACATGTAGATGATTTTGAAAAAAGAATTTAGTCAATTTGAAGCAAGTTGAAAAAAGACCTTTTTGACCTTTTTTGACTTTGAGAAGGTCATTGAAGGTCAAATGTCAATTTTAAAGTCAGATTTGAATTTCTGAGAACATGTAGATGATTTTGAAAAAAAAAATTAGTCAATTTGAAGCAAGTTGAAAAAAGACCTTTTTGACCTTTTTTGACTTTGAGAAGGTCATTGAAGGTCAAATGTCAAATCTTAAGTCAAATCTAAAGTCAGATTTGAATTTCTGAGAACACGTAGATGATTTTGAAAAAAAAATTTAGTCAATTTGAAGCAAGTTGAAAACAGACCTTTTTGACCTTTTTTGACCTTTAGAAGGTCATTGAAGGTCAAATGTCAAATCTAAAGTCAAATCTAAAGTCAGATTTGAATTTCTGAGAACATGTAGATGATTTTGAAAAAAAATTTAGTCAATGTGAAGCAAGTTGAAAAAAGACCTTTTTGACCTTGAGAAGGTCATTGAAGGTCAAATGTCAAATCTAAAGTCAGATTTGAACTTCTGAGAACATGTAGATGATTTAGAAAAAAATTGAAGTCAGTCTAAACAGTATTTGTTAAGTTATAGGAAGTTGTAAGAAATTGTTACAGACGCCGGACGCCAACCGCCAACCACCAACCGCCGTCGCAAAAAAACGGAGACCATAACAATATGTCACCACTTTTGGTGGTGACATAAAAAACGGAGACCATAACAATATGTCACCACTTTTGGTGGTGACATAACAAAAAAACGGAGACCATAACAATATGTCACCACTTTTGGTGGTGACATAAAAATAGTCAACAATTATACCAATAATATAAGAATCTTGAGTATCTGAAGCCAAAAGAATTAATAATGATGTTTTATTCAGTTTTCATTTTAAAGTCTGTTTCTTGTCAGTTTAAAATGCAGGGCTCAAAAATCTTTTATTTTGATTTCAATTTCAATTTTCAGTTTTATATATTTCCATGGATCAACTGTTTTTGGCTCCTTAGATGTCATTCTTAAACAAATTAATATATAAAATACCAACAAAATATATTGTTTTGTTAATTATAAATAGGTAACAAAAATAACATGGCCTCCAATTTATCTGAAGATAAATTTTGTATGAATAATTTGGATATGGGCACCTCTCCCAGACACAAGTCATTTCTATAGAGTATTTCAATAGGAAGAGTCGACTTTAACTGAAGTCTTGAAATGGTCAGATGAACAATTTTGCCTTAGAAATTGGCTATTTTAGGGACACCTTCTGATCATTTACTTACCTTAATGAGCGAAAGATATTTCTGATAAAAATATCTTTTATCATCACTCGTACCAAAATGCTGATTTCATCATTATTCTTTATTGATAGAAAAATACTGATACTTACCTTAATTTGTAAAAATTCTTAAGCAAACTGTGTGAAATACAGGGTGTTCAAAAAAAAACGCTACCCAAAGAAATCGCTATATCTTGGAAAATACTAGTCCAATTGTGTTCATTTTTTCAGGAAAGAAAGAAGAGACTGTGTATGTATAGCTCATGTTGTTAGTTAGTTGTAAAACATGATGCCTTGGACAAATGCTCAAAAGACATTAGTATTGGAAAGATACGAAAAACGCAGTCAGAGACTACTGCCGCAGCAATAAAACCAAATAACTTTCTAACCATAGTGTTTTGGCTATTCAAATTTGGCACAAATCATCTTCATTCAATGTATGATAAATCTGTAGAGTGAAATCAAAATCACTCCAGGGACTTTACAGTTTTGGTCGAAATGCTTTCAAAACCCAGTCAAACACCCTGGTTCAGCCAGACTTAAGAAGGCATTCTGACCATGACTGTAAAGTCCCTGGAGTGATTTTAATGAAACTCCCCCAATTCACTACACATTATATGAAGATAATTTGTGGTGAATCTGAAGTGCCAAAACACCATGGTTAGAAAGTTATTAGGGTTTATTGCTCTGGCAGTCACCTCTGGTTGCGTTTTTCGTATCTTTCCAATACTAATGTCTTTTGAGAAGGTGTCCAAAACATCATGTTTTACAACTAACTAACAGCAGGAGCTATACACACATAGTCTCTTCTTTCTTTCCTGAAAAAATGAACACAATTGGATAAGTATTTTCCAAGATATAGCGATTTCTTTGGGTTGCGTTTTTTTTTGAACACCCTGTATTATAATTATAATTCATGTATGATTTTATGATTACTTTCAAACATATTTAAAGATAATTGATTTTTGCAATGTTTTATTCTAATTATTAATTCATTAGATAAACAAAAGTATAACACTCTAATTATTCAATGAATGAGTCCAATATGATAATGTTGTTCCACTAACATGTGAGAAAATAGGAACTCTTCAACACAGGGAGATGGGGGAGAGGTATTGGACATTGTTTCTTTACATGTTAGAACATAGTTTGGGTTATTCAGGGCTTGTCTTTTATGGTTCTTGTGTCTTTTGTTAAACTCTAAGATTCTTAGATTTCTTGTTCTGTTTTGTAACATGTTTTGGTCATTTCCCATTTGTTTTCAATAATGTTACACACATAGCAGTTATACAGGACATCAGGCTATGTACCGTATAAAATGTACATTGGTTATACTGATCTGTCTGGATGATGACATTCAAGAATATGGGACCCAATTACGATCTTATTCGGGATCAACCTGAGACTACTTTATACAATAGACTATTTTGACTTTTAAGAACCAACGCCATGTTTATGCATTACATATATCACATATTACCACACCACCTTCACCTTAAGTTATGTTATACGCCATACGCTATGTATTATTTCATTGACAACCAGGGTTTATTTATGGACTTCTATATGGCTCACATAAGATGTAAAGTAAAATGGGTCATCCTAATATTGGTTACTGTTCAGTTTGGAATGTATTTTATAATATCAAATATAATTGGAATATTTTGTGACGATACTGATTTATATATAACCACCCATATTATGGGCCAAGTACCAACCAATTTGCAAATTGTGATCATGCTACTCCAACCACTTTAAAGTACACCCTCAGCGATATCAAAATGGTAAATAAAAGCTATTAAAACACCATGTCAGCTTTAATACGCTTTTCAGCTATATGGAGAACATGAAGTTGCATGAAATAGCTTTGAAAATGAAATTAAAGCAACTGCTGGGTTATTTATGCAACACTGGAGTAAAAGGGGATATGTTGCTACTCCACTACATAAACAGTGAGGAGAGCTTACAACAAACACAATGTGAACCAGATGTAATGAGTACAACTCTATCCTTCAAATCCGCATGGGTTAAAAACTATGCGCATTAATTAGTACTAGATATAGTATGACAGGAACTGGTTTTATGCTTTATTTCAGCATCCTCTAAACACTGAGTATAAAATAACACCATATATTTGTACTATGCATATATCATGAAATCAAAGATAACATACTTCAATTAATAAATGTCATGATTATCAAGAGCAGCATGATTATGTAGTTTGCTCAGTTTACTAGGGCAGCTGAAAGTACTTCCACAGAGATTAATATTGTGATATATTGGGTGTCCCAAAATGACCTGCTTTTTGGCAAGTATTTTTTCAGCAAAAGATTACTCAAATTCATTGAAAATTCTTGAAAGGTAGACAGAGTCTTTATCAGTAAGGGATACAAATATGTAAGAAATCAGTTACATATTATGAGTACTGACTAATTCAAAAATGTGTGTCTAAAAATCAAATATCAGAGCTGCGCAATGAGGCCTTCATAGTGTTTGTGCCAGCTATTGCCTGTCAATCAGTTATACTCTCAAAATTGCTTGTCTGTTTGTCATGTTTTTAATTTCTTTCATTGTTCTCGGTATTCAAAATCCTTTCTGTCCAAAATTTCAGTTTAAAAGGATTAATGATGCCTTAAAGTGAAAGCGATAAGGCTACTATAGAAAACTGTTTCAAGGTGAAAGGATGAGGTGGAAGATGAATCGTAAAGGAATTAAGGGGAGGAGTTGGAGTCATGCAACTGTAAATAGACGTATGAACAAAAATGAAGAACATCCAACATGCATAAAAGGATGAAATGATTATGTCATGGGAGGCAAAATCATTGGAAGAGATGCACAAAAGCATTTCTGCTTGAAAAAACAGCTTCTTTCAGACCATAATAAGTGACTTTTCCATTGATGTTGGATATTTTAGCATGCTGTATTTAATTTTCAAAGAATTTTGCTTATCTTTCGCTGAGATAATACTTGTCCAGAAGAGCGTCTCACTTTTTGGGACACCCAATATATGTTTTAACTGATTCAGAAATGATTTTACGCCCAACTAAGCATATTAATAAAAACATTATTTTATGCTTCATACCACATCTTGGCTTTCATCCTCTTTGTCAGCTTTTTTCTCAGGTACTGGATCATCTGTCTGGTCCTCCATCTCAACCTGTATAAGCCAAGCACTCCATAAATTGTAATGTGTAATGGTATACAGGTTATTAACAAAATACATTTTATTAGTGTTTGGATTTATTTTCATATGCTTTCAATATTTCTTTTCCTTATAGTTGTTCTTAGCACTATGATTCTAATTACATTATAACACTGGAATAAACAGAAAGCAGCAATGCTAGGGGATAACAGATTCACTCCCAAAAATTCAATATATTTTAGCCCATGTGGAGACATATTCACGAATAGACCGATTGTACTTAAAACAAATAAAACATGTGATTGGATGTGAACATTAAAGGTGTAAATGTTTGAATAAATAAACTTACATCTGTAATAGAGGCCTCTTGTAACATGTTCCTGATATCAAGTCTGATGTAGTGGGAAGGGGTTTCTTCCCATCCTTCTGATATCTGCAACAAACATGTGCATAATGGTATATAATTTGCTTATAATAATATATAGCTTATAATCTATTGATGATTGTGACTGGTGTCATTTGACAGTTTTCGGTTAAGGTAAGGTGGTTTGTTTCTTATAACTGGTATGATTTTTCCTTTCTCTATATTTTAATATCTTTTACATTTTTTACTTCCATTTTGCTTCTATAGTTTAAAATTAGTATCAACTACAAAAGCTGCATGATGACTTTTTGCATGCAGTGATTTGGAATACTTTTTACTTTTCACCTTATTGGCACTTGTGCTTATTTATATAACATTTACGGTACAAAAATTTTACCTTATCAAGTTCAGATAGTTTTCTATTGTGAGTGTTCCTCTTGGCACAAACAGCTGTTTCAGACTGTAACTCTGCTATATACACCTAAAGTAAACATCAAATCATAATAAAGTTTTGAAGTATTTTTGTAGAGAGAACATGTTACATGATTCATAGTATAGTAGTGTGTACTTCCGTAACTTGAAACCTTGTAGCCACCCTTGTACTATGTCTTTTTAAAATCTAAAATTGCATATTGCATGTTCTGGTTCCAAAGGAACTTTAATTGGCAATTTCCAACATTCTGTACCCTACCTAGAATTCTTTTTGTTTTTTCAAATCTTAAATTGCATGTTCTGGTTCCAAAGGATCTTTAATTGGCAATTTCTAACATTCTGTACCCTACCTAGAATCCTTTTTGTTTTTTAAATCTAAAATTGCATATTGCATGTTCTGGTTCCAAAGGAACTCTCATTGGCAATTTTTTACCATTCTGTCCTGTACCTTGAATCCTTTTAGTTTTTTAAATCTAAAATTGCATATTGCATGCTCTGGTTCCAAAGGAACTCTAATTGGCAATTTTTAACATTCTGTACCCCAACTAGAATCCTTTTTGTTTGTTTTTAAATCTAAAATTGCATATTGCATGCTATGATTCCTAAGGAACTTTAATTGGCAATTTTTAACATTTTGTATCGTACCTGGAATCCATTTTGCTTTTTAAATCTAAAATTGCATATTGCATGTTGTGGTTCCAAAAGGAACTCGAATTGGCAATTTTTAACATTCTGTACTTTATATACCTGGAATCCTTTAGACTTAGCATACTGCCAAAAGTCTGAATAATGGGCAGTTTGCTCATTAACTGCATCCAGGATGATGAATGGGAAGAAGCCATCGTCAATATTCTTCTTGAAACTTTTAAATAAACTTTTCCTGTATGTGTCTTCCATCTCAGCCTCATATTCATACTCTAAAAGCTGCAATCAAAAAATATATGTCTACATCAATTAATTAAGCTTATCCAAAAACCACTTATTGATACTTGTGTTTAATCCTTCCGACAATTGTGTTCACATAAATCAGAATGATCAAAATCTATAAAATGAAAATATAATGCAAAATAAATATGCAAATTCAAATCCCGATATTAAACTACTCATACATGTACAGAGTTAATATGACAGCATAATAATAGACCTAGAACAATTCAAAGAAATTACAAAATCCAGTTCATGTTCTTTTTTACTAACCCTTTTCTTCACTTTCTTTCCTGTATCTGGATCTTTCTCTGTCTTCTCTATCTCAACCATGAAATAGTCATCCAAGCATAACATACGAGGGGCATGACCTCCGTTAGCCATTTCTTTGTCCTAAAAAATTCATTACAGTTTTGAATTTCAATTGATAAATACTAGTACTTTATGATCAATTCTAAATTTTAGTGATTTTCTGTTGAATAAAAACAACTTGATAACTTGAAAACAATTTGATAGCAGTTTTTGAAAACGTTTTACTTTGGGAAACATTTCATCATACAGGCATTACAGGGTGACCCTGACCCCAAAAATTCCACCCACTACCTTTGGAATAAATTTCCCAATAATGAAGGAATATTCATGATTTTTTGTGTGTACTAATAATAGATTTTTCAATGATTCCTTCATTATTGAGAAAGCTATTCCAAATATAGTGAGTGGCATTTTTTGGGTCACCCTGTATGTACAGGGTCTATGCTGTTGAATGTTGTTCTCAGAATATAATATCTACTCACCCTCATAAGCTTACTCAAATATGTTTTCCCTGAGCCAGGGAGACCCCTTAATATGACCACAATATTCTGTGGCCTTCCTTCTCTACCAGGTTTACATAGTAAGTCATCTATATTAACTGTTTCAATTTTCTTAGGGTCTATGGGACCCTTGGGTACAGGGGGAATCTCTATTATGTCATCATCATCTTTTAGTTTTTTCTTTATCTCACCAGTTGACATTGGTCGGAAGAGTGGATACCTTAAAATAAATAAATTCCAATTCCAAATAGAAACACTTTAATAAGAGATGGAAATTTGTCAACTTACCATATTCCAAAGTGTATCGCATTGATACTTTAAAAAGTTATCAATATGGCAAAACATTTCTGTCAGGAGGCAATTCACTTACTTTGTTTTTGTGTCCATTTTTTCAGCTTCTCTCTCTTTTTTACGTCTTTCCATTCTTTCTTCCAATTCTTTCTTTCGCTGATCTTCTCTATTTTGTTCACGTTCCCTTCGTTCCTTTGCCCACCGTTTCTCCTTCTCAGCCTGAGTTTCTGGTTTATTGTCAGTCTGCCCTGATGTGCGATCTCGTCCATAGAGACGGTCACGTGCACGGATTATCCTCTCACGCTCCCTACAATATTAACATAAACTATGAATATGGCTAAGTCTCCAAAATCTTGAATCAAAGGAGCTTGACTCATTAACTAAATCATCCTGAGTCTTACAAAAGGGAATAAATATGATGAACTAATTCCATAATACTGTTGTGCATCAACATAAACAATTTGAAATGGGATGAGAGTAACAATAAACTTCAAAACACTCAGAAGGACATTAAAAAAATGGTTCAATAGTAGAAATCAAGCATACTTATCCTTCCTGTAAGAAAAGCTGCAATACTTGAATTTCCCACAGCATTCAAACGATTTTTGCAGTCTGGTTAACACACAATTTTTGCAACAGTCACGTTTCTGTTAAAAACTAACGCGCAATTATACGCTACGCTGTTTTTAGGTCCAGAGTTCTTCCAGGAATTAGTATGAAACTTTCATTTGAAAGTCATACCTTTCTATGTTAGGAGAAGACCCGTTTTCTGAGAATTCTAAGAGGATACAGTATTGAGGTATTGGGTAAAAGGTAATTTCTAATTACCCTGAGTGGGGCCGCAAGGTTTGGGATAAATAATGTATGATTGTCAAGAAACAGTAAATCGATTCTTTACCTTCTGGCTTCAGCCTAACTTCTTGCAGTAAAGGTTCATAAACTGCATGGAACCTGTGTTTCCAGCACTTCGGATATATCATTATAGCTGGTGGAGCATCGGGAGATATGTCATGTCCTGTCTATAATCTCAATTATAAGTTGTGTGTGTGTACAACAAATACCCACCTTGATGATTCTCTGGACTCTCTAGATCGTTCCTTCTCTCTGCTCCTTTCTCTGGACTCTCTAGGTCTTTCCTTTTCTCTACTCCTTTCTCTGGAACGACGTGAACCATCTCTATCTCTTCTCTCCCTGTCTTTTGAACGTTCTCTGTCATGATCCCATGAGCGTTCCTGAACCCTATCTAGATCACGTGACCTCTCTCTGTCACCACGGTCAAATGCTCGCTCTCGGTCACGATCAAATGATCTGTCACGATCCCTATCTCTAGCATAAGGATCTGGTCGCGCATATGGGTCTCTTTCTGAGGGATGACCATATGGATCTCTCTCTGGAGGTCGGCCATATGGATCTCTTTCTGGGGGTCGAGCATACGGATCTCTTTCTGGAGGTAGACCATATGGGTCCCTAGCATATGGGTCTCGCTCAGGACGTCTTGCAAATGGGTCCCTCTCTGAGGGTCTTTCAAATGGGTCACGAGCATATGGGTCTCTGGCGTAGGGATCTCTTGCGTATGGATCAGGAGCATATGGGTCAAGATCTACAAAGAAATATAGCTTGATAAATGATTTGAACAGGAGCCTATCTGAAAATTTCTAGAAATGAAAAAAGCTGAATTAAATCAAATTACTGAAAAGTTTTAGAAATGGGGGATCAAAATGTAATAGCTGAATTAAATCAAACATGTGTAAAAAGCACATACATTAGGGAATATGAAAAATTAATCTTAGAGCCATAATAAATGACCAAAGGTCCCTGTCCTCACACAGTGATCTGTTACCAAAGTGTGACTTTTTACCAGTTTTAATTTGTACCACCAATTTGTACCAACAGAAATTAAAATAAAAAAAACTTGAGTAATGTCCATTATAATTTATTTTATCAATGTATATATCACCTTCAGCCCTGGCCGCATATGGATCTGGGGCATACGGGTCTCTTGCATCTCTAGAATAAGGATCATCCTTAAACATATCATCTCTAGATTTAGCCCTTGCTTCTTTTTCCTGCTCAATAACTGTCAAAGGATCTACACCATCTTTCGAATCTTTGGTATCTGATTGACCATGCCCGTATTCAATAACTTCTGGGGCCTTGATAGGCTCTTCTGGCTCTGGCTCTGCTACTGCTGGAGGTGGTGGTCTTTCTGTTAAAGGAACATAGAATTATATCATAATAATTACATGTTCAACCCTTGAAATTGATGTGACTTGTCAATAGAAAATGCATGGTTATTAAATCTGTACAATTAGAAATAGAAACTAAGAATATAAGTGCTTCATTATAAATACTGCAGGTCTGTTTAACTGCTGTATTATGTGAAAACTTTTTAAAACATTCTTATTTAACCAAATCTTACCATATGGTCTGCGGGGAACAGCAGAATCAGCATATGGGTCAGCGTATGGATCAGCATAAGGGTCAGCATACGGCTCAGCATATGGATCATCAAGATTTCTTGCAGGAGGGACTCTTCTGCCCCTATTACATAAAACAGATATATAACACAAGGACCTCACAGGGGTCTTACTGCAACAACACCTAGCTTGGCTTTTTCAGCACTTTAAGACCTCTCAGTCAGCTCAAAAAAACAAAAAGGTTGTTTCATCAGCCAATCAGACTAGAGGGAACAGGTGTTAATTCATTCATACACATAATCTTACACAAGAATAAAGGTTGTTTCATCATTTCCAACAAAATGGACACTGGGCCATTTGTATAAGAAGGTGTCCTGGCTCAATTCTCCCTAAAAGTGTACAGAAGTGTGAGATTAAGAGACATCAATAAAATTTTAAGTTGAAAATTCAGAAAGGGGAAACTTACCCTCTGACTGGTGGAAGTTCCTCTCCAAATCTAGCTCTCTTGGCAGCTGGGTTGGCATAAGCATCATCTGAATAAGGGTCATCATGACCATATGGAACAACACCTCTGCCTCTACCTCTAACCATTCCACGACCTCTACCTCTGGGAACAATAGGCTCATCATAGGCAGGGTACTCCTCTTCTTCTTCCTCATAGGTTTCTTCACCATACCCTTGTAGGATATCACTAACTCCACGTTTAGCTCTTGGGTACTCTCCTTGCCCATAGACCCCTCTCCCTCTGCCTCGTGCCCTAGGGGCTGGTATGCCACGACCCCTGGGAGTGATCCCACCACGACCTCTCATCCCACCTCTGATTTGGTAGCCATACTCATCATAAGCTTCAGCAGGCTGTTCCTCTTCTTCATATCCTTCCCAAGTCTCCTCACCCCAGGCTGATTCTTCTTGGTAAGCCTGTTTGTATGGGGCCATCCCCCTGCCTCTACCATTAGCTCCTCGGCCTCTTCCCAGAGGCTCCTGGCCATGTCCTCTCCCCCGAGCAAGCTGCTGGCCTCTGCCTCTCATAGCTGGGTATTCCTCTTGGTCATAGCCTGTGTCATAGGCATCAGCTCCCCTACCTAGACCCCTGCCCCTGCCGCGACCTCTAGCATTGTACTCCTCACTAAAGTCTGCCCAGTTTGTTCCCTAGATGCAAAAGATTATTTAATAAGTATAACTGTAAATGCTCATTCATGCAAGGTTTTTGAAAAGTAAAGTATAAATGAAATTAATACTCAGATGGTAATAAAGCGTGTACCTCTTTCAGCTCCTGCCCAAATGCCATAGGCTCTTCTGTTTCTTCACCATAACCTTCTTGTTGGCCAATGCCTTTTCCTTTTCCACCAAAACCTTCCTGTCCTTCCTCACCATAGCCCTCTTCATTATAGTCCTCTTGTCCATAGCCCTCTTGCCCATAGCCTTCTTGCCCATAGCCTTCCTGACCGTAACCTTCATTATATCCTTCCTGGCCATATCCTTCTTCACCATATCCTTGTTGATTTCCATATCCCTCCTCTCCCCAGGATTGTTCATCTGGCAGCCCTCTACCATATCCACCTCTACCTCTCCCCCTGAATCCGAATGCATCCTGTCCTCTACCACTGGGACCACCCAGCTGTTGACCCCTGCCTCTCTCAGACGAGAATTGTGAACCTCTGCCCCGATCTCCGGGAAATTGTGAACCTCTGCCCCGTTCTCCAGGAAATTGCGAACCTCTGCCCCGTTCTCCAGGAAATTGCGAACCTCTGCCCCGGTCTCCAGGAAATTGCGAACCTCTGCCCCGGTCTCCAGGATACTGTGAGCCTCTACCTAGATTACCATAAAATTGGGAACCTTGTTCTTCATCTTCATTGGGGAATTGAGAGCCTTGGCCCTGATCTCCGGGAAATTGTGATCCTTGACCACGATCACCAGGAAATTGTGAGCCTCTACCACGATTACCAAGAAGCTGTGAGCCTCGACCACGATCACCAGGAAAGTGTGACCCACGACCCCTATCTCCTGGGAATTGTTGACCTCTCCCATAATTATGTCCTTTACTTGGACCTTCTTCCTCTGGTGGTGGGGGTGGGGGACCTTGACTCAACAGCTTGATAGCATCTGCTGCCCCTCCCATAAAACTGCCTGACTTTCCCTGTAACAGTAGGAGTAGATTCATTAAATGTAATGACAGTGTTCTAAATGGCATGGAATACTAGGAAGTACATGCATGAAGTGAACACTGTGCAGTAAATCGTAGGTAATAAACAAGGTGGGACAAGGCCATAGGGTCTTCAGGCACAAAATATAGAGAACCATTTCCTGACTGGCATAATCTGATTCCTCATTTCATTTGAGGTAGGAATTTGGGAAAAGTAGGTATGAACTAGACAACAGCAATTAAAATTGTTACAAAATATTAATATTACAATTTCTTGAGAGTCAAACTGACACTAAAATGGCAACAATTTTGAAACTTGGCGTCATATTCAAAACTTGCTTTGAGCAGAACTTGTACTCACATGTAAAAATATTTGGCAGTATTTGAGTAACTGCCCAGACAGACAGACAGAGGAACAGACACAGTTGAACGGAGGCATTCACCGTATCTCCCCCAAAGTTCATTCTATAGGATAAATAATAGTACAAATGTATAACTATATACCTTGTTAGGATCATCAGGCTTTTGTTGTTTGTTATTTTTGTCCTTGGTATTGTTATCATCTGTTTCATCATCATCAAGGTTGATACATTCACTATAACACATCAATGTTAAGGTTAAGAATAAACAAGAGATTAATAGAGGGAAATTCCATGTGTCATGATTGGTATAAAACATGAAATACATTTTCATAAATTTTGTGATTCTATTTTTCATTTCTTTGTATGATGGACCTTTTTCCATCCTCATTCCTCAAACAATTACTCTTGTATTTTCAATTTACCTCTGTGGCAGGTTTAAATTAATTTTTCCTTTTTGCGCATATCAACAAGACACAGTGACAGATGTCCCAATTAAAAGAGCAAAATGGCCACCATGCCAAACTGCCCAGACAAATGCACACCAAGCAGCACATAACAATGTTCCCTTAATCAAAGTGTGATCAAACAGAAACTGTGTATGATGATGTAACAAGGTTATTGTCCAGACAAACATGCAGTAACTACTAGTGTTTTCTGCTGAATAAATGTACTATAACTGTACATACAATGCCAGTTAAGCACAAGGAAAACAAATAAAAGAAGCTCATGTCATATTAACTGATAATCTCTGAAGCACAAAGAGCAATATTGGAGCAACAGACCTGAACATTAGTCATAATAAACTTACTGATAGCTAAAGCAACCACTAAAGCAGCCTAAGATTAATCCATTTGTAGTTACCATAAAATAACAATAAAGGTGAATACGTCAGTGGTTTGAAATTTAGCATGCTTGAATAAATAAACAGTCTTACATTTTTTCAGGTTCTTTTTGGGCACTCTCCCTAAAACATATTTTCTTTTACGATTCTGAGAATTTTAATCTTACAAGGGTTCTATTGATTCAAAACATCGGTGGTGTTGTATAACCCTACTATTGTTAGGCAATAATATGAAAGTGTCAAAAGAATCACCAAACAGAAAAAATGTTTAAGCATCCAGGGGATAAGTAAGTATTAACTCCCTCATCCACTTCGGGCACATGAGTAAATATAAAACTTAAAAATGTACGTGGTTAAAATCATGGGCTTTCAAGAGATGGATAAATACCAACAAATTATGAAATTGTCTGTGTTTCAGCTCTTTTGAAAATTAGAATAAGTCAAATTAACTTACATTTGTTTTGTTTTGTCGATGACTTTCACACCAGCGTCATCCTCAGATTTGTCTCCTGGTTCTTCAAGGTCACCAGGGGTCTTGTCCTTCATTCCAACAGACTTAGCAGAGTCCATCATAGGGGGACGGTCAAATTTGATGTCAAACAGAGACACAGGTCCTTTATTTGAAACTGGGGCTTTTGATTCTTCTTTTTCATCTTGCCCTTTAGTAGATTCTTTATCAAAATGTGATACTCGTTTTGGTCCCATTTGAGGGGTGGGACCCTTTGGACTTTGTTCAGGAGCTGTTCCCTGTGAACCTTGACTGGGTCCAGGAGCTACTCCAGGAGGGCCTTGATTGGGTCCAGGAGCTGTTCCACGAGGACCTTGATTTAGTCTAGGAGCTGCTCCAGAAAGACCTATCCCTCTTGGACCTAGGCCTGGACCAGGGCCTAATATACCCGGAGCCTCACTTTGAGGTCCCTGTGGTCTTGGACCTGGGTTGATTCCTGATCTTGGTATTTTCTGTGCAGGTGCGCCAGGAGGTGCACCTAGAATACCTGGTGCTGAACTGGATACAGGCGTTGCAGGTCTAGGGCTCTGGCCAGGGGAGGCTCCAGAAGTAGAACCAGGGCCTTTTTTAGGACTTTGATCAGGAGCAGGGGAGCTTGATGGGCCTTTAACTGGTTGAGATATACTTGGACTTGGACCTCTTTGTGCCTGATCTTGACTGGGGGCCTGGCCTCTTGGGCCTGAGAATTGTAATTGTCCCCGAGCACCTTGAAACTGTCCCCTGGGGCCTTGTTCTTGTCCAGGACCTCTTGGGCCTTGATCTTGTCCAGGACCTCTAGGGCCTTGATCTTGTCCAGGGAATCTCAATCCTTGATTCTGTCCAGGACCCCTTGGGCCTTGGTCTTGTCCAGAGAATTTGGATCCTTGATCTTGTCCGGGACCTCTAGGGCCTTGATCTTGTCCAGGGAATCTTGATCCTTGATTCTGACCAGGAAATTGTCCTCTTGGGCCTTGGTCTTGACCAGGTCCTCTTGGTCCTTGGTTCTGGCCTTGAAATTGTCCTCTTGGGCCTTGATTTTGTCCTTGAAACTGATTTCTAGGACCCTGATCTTGACCCATAGAGGGACCCCTTTGACCCATCATGCCTGACCTGGGATCACGGGGATTAAATGGGCCTCTGGGCTGCTGAAATATCCCCTTAGAACCTTGCATACCACTCCTGGATCCATCAAATGAATCTCCAGGTTTGGCATCATCCGACTGATTCAGATTCATGTCCATTAGAGAGTGTGGTTTTCCACCAAATTGGGTCCCATCCTGCTGATTCTGTTGATTCATTCCCATACCTCTCGGACCCTGATTGTTGCCAGGGCCACCAAAGCGTTGTCCTCTCCCTCCAGGACCATCAAATCTATTTCCACGCCCCATGCCATCCATCCCTCTCCCCTGGAACATGGGCCCATCTCCTCCCCCAGAATTGCCACCTTGATTCTGTTGATTAAAATTATTACCGAGCATAGGATTGAAATCATTTTGCTGTCTGTTAAATTCATTATTACCCGAATCTCTGTTAAAATCGTTGTCACCTTGTCTATTAAAATCATTTCCACTGTTATTATCCCCTTGCCTATTAAAGTCATTATTTCCTTGATTTGGACCATCAAATCTCTGTGGGCCTCCAAATCTTGATGGTCCACCACCGGGTCCTCCGAAACCCCGACCTTGTTGATTATCAAACCCTCGTCCCATATTATTGCCTCCGAAGCCTTGTTGTTGATCCCCTCCAAATCTAGGTCCACGGGGACCATCAAACCTTGGTCCACCAAACCTAGGACCAGGACCACCTCCTTGATTGGGACCACCGAATCTTTGACTTTGGTTTCCCTGATTGCCTTGGTGACTCTGGTTGCCTTGGTTCCCCTGGTTTCCCTGCCATTGTTGTTTTTGTTGTTGTTGTTTTTTCCTTGATAGGATATCTTCTCGTTTACTTTCCATCTGAGCTTCATATTCTTTCCACTGCTGCTCGTACTGCAGAAACTGCTCTCTGTTAGGATGGTCTGCAAAACAAGACAGGAAGTAGCTTTAAAACACATGAATCGTGGAATTGGAATATGCCCAATATCAAAGCAATAGCGTAAGCCATTTGAAAAATGTTAAACCTTAAACGGTCTACCCCTAAGGAATTTTTTGATAACTTTTTTTGTAGTTTCTCTTTTGATCTGAAATCTACCCCCCCCCCTCAGGCCTAACCGTTGGTGTTATTCTCTATAGCCTAACTGTTTATAAGGGTTAATTCTTTACTAATTCCCCCTTGCTCGTTTTTATTATTATATCTAATTAAAAATCCTTACAATTCATAATACAGGTGTTAATGACATCACATTAGGTTAACTAAGCTACTATAGCAACACACTTACTGGCATTCTGTTGTTTCCAATCATTATACTGTTGTTTCCACTCAGTGTACTGCTTATCAAACTCTCTTTCCTCTTGTAATATAGCATCCATACCACCTCCTCCTAGAATTTAGAAGAAAAACATTTTATAATTGAGGGACTGAGTCATTTCAAATCGCACTTACATCTTGCATGCACATAGGGATGCCACCAAACTCATTTAATTACTATAATAGACAGTGCATATACGATAAGTGACCCATCTAGAAGTTGACTGTTAGAACTGTCTAACAGTTATGCAATGATCTCGGTTAATTCATACCGAAGTTTTTATCCAAGAATAAAAGGCTATCATGCAGTCATGAGAACTGCTTGGAGATTGTAAAATAATCTTATGAAGATTCTCTATTTAGATTACTGTACTTTATTATTACACTTATATTGAAGCACACAAGTGCTGCTTGTACTGCAGAAACCGCTCTCTGTTAGGCACATAAGTGACAAAGGTATGTGAATCAAAAGGTTTACCCCTTTATTGCCTCGTCAAATATTGAAAATTTAATTGATGTTCTCGACAATGTAGAGTTGTTATGTACAGTAGTCATTTTGGATTGTGAGAGTTAAGCTTGAATCAAGACCTTGAAGGAGATGGATGAAGAATACAATGGGTATATATAGACACCCACCTTCCATCTGTGCATTATATTGCGCTAGTTTCTCGTGATATTCTGCCCACTCTCGTTGATGCTGCCACTGAGCTGCCTGGGTCTGTAGCACTGTCATTTTCACATCTTCTTCAGTCTACAACATATATACATTAATATGGTGAATCCTCTATGTAGTTGACCACAAATATTTGTAAGACTAATGAAATTTACGGTTGATCACAATTTGTCCTATTTGCAGGATCAACGAAATCCCTTGAATGCCTTTGTTAGCCTTTTGCAGATTATTGACATAGACATTCAAGAAAATCACGGGCTTTCAAGAGAATCTATTGGGGTTGAAAGCACTGTTATTCATAGGGCTGGGGAACATGTATAAAGAAATTGAGTCGACATCTGTATTCATGGGCGTAGCGCCCGGTACGCTGGGTACGCACAGGCGTACCAGATGGTTGCAAATTCGCTATAAATACAACCACATTTCAAAATTTTCCAGACCCCAATAAGTTTGTTTAATGATAAAATGATTACCTTATAAAGAACTTACAATATTATTTTTTCGTATATTGTCCTCTTACTGAAGATATTCATAAAATGTACAGACGCTTCTTGTAGCGAAGCCATTGATTAGGTCAAGCCATTTTGGCAATGCCAATTCTCACGATAAACGAGATTTAGCCAGTGACGTCAGTCTATTTGTAAACAAATAACACGTGGAGCAGACGGAGCAACATTACGGAAGCGTATTGATAAATTCCATTTGTGCGGGAATTTATTAGATCTAGTCATTTATTATCATTATCCCGATTAATTTTCTTCATTTATAGTAAATAGAGCGGAAATATTCATGAAGAAGGCCGAGGTAATCAAGTGGTCATGTGTTGTCAAAGTTCAAAAATTTGCATATCTCGTTTGGATCTCGTGAACTCAAAACGTCCTTGACATTGATTTCGCGATCTACTTATGAACACATCCTGAAGATATGGTGAGTCTGAACATTTCATTATTTTATATCAACTTGTACCCGCCTTATACAAATATTTTTGCTTCTAAGATGAACATCTCTTCAACATATTCACCAATTTTCAAGGTGAACATTCTTGTAATAAACGAGAAATTTATGTGCAAAAAGTATCACCGCGATTTCCACAGGAAATATATCAATCATAACAGACCGAATATTATATTCGGTCTGTTGGATACATACTACCCCCTGAATGCTCGTTTTTTGATTCTTGACTCTTGTTCCTGTGGTGGTGGCGTACTACTAAGAAAAATAGTGCTACGTCCATGGTATTACATATTAGAAAGGGTATTAGAAATAAGAATTATAGAAGTCGACTTGATTTTTTTATACATGTTCCCAGGCCCTATGCTGTTATTAGGCACATATGACCAACCCTCATAACAACAGGCAGAATCATGTAATTTACAAGTGCCACAGATATGTTGGTAACTTGATATAACACCAGAGATCACGATAGTTGAAAAAACTTGTTAGCCATTGTGGCTTAGACTGTATCCTTCGTCTGAATAAATATTCAGACTGTAAGTCACCTATTGTAAAATGTGGTGTTGTATAAATGTTACAAATAAGTTTGTTTAATGATAGAATGATTACCTTATAAAGAACTCACAATATTATTTTTTCGTATATTGTCCTCTTACTGAAGATATTCATAAAATGTACAGACGCTTCTTGTAGCGAAGCCATTGATTAGGTCAAGCCATTTTGGCAATGCCAATTCTCACGATAAACGAGATTTAGCCAGTGACGTCAGTCTATTTGTAAACAAATAACACGTGGAGCGGGAGCAACATTACGGAAGTGTATTGCTAAATTCCATTTGTGCGGGAATTTATTAGATCTAGTCATTTATTATCATTATCCCGATTAATTTTCTTCATTTATAGTAAATAGAGCGGAAATATTCATGAAGAATGCCGAGGTAATCAAGTGGTCATTTTTTTGTCAAAGTTCAAAATTTGCATATCTCGTTTGGATCTCGTGAACTCAAACGTCCTTGACATTGATTTCGCGATCTACTTATGAACACATCCTGAAGTTTCGGTGAGTCTGAACATTTCATTATTTTATATCAACTTGTACCCGCCTTATACAAATATTTTTGCTTCTAGTTTAAGATGAACATCTCTTCAACATATTCACCAATTTTCAAGGTGAACATTCTTATAATAAACGAGAAATTAATGTGCAAAAAATATCACCGCGATTTCCACAGGAAATATATCAATCATAACAGACCGAATATTATATTCGGTCTGTTGGATACATACTACATTGTGGCTAAATCTTCCCAAAATTTTTTCGCCAACCAAAATATGAATTAGCCATTTTGAAAAACCGTAAAAGAGGGAACATTATGCAATGTCTGATGATGACAGTTTCACTTTCAGTTTCACTTTTCAAAATCATATTCAGAAATAAAAAACGTCAATTAAAATTGAATGTAAAGCATCTGCCGCGAATGTGATCGGCATTTCACATAGTCTGCACGGTGTAATATCACCAATTCGTTTACCTTGTGATATCGGAGTCCCAAAATACTTCCAAACTGCCGACTTTTTCGACTTAGATGCCGGCTCGATTTTTCAATTTCTTTCCTACATCCGGCATACTGATAATGCACTCGATTTGCGAACGACGATGAAGAAATTTACGAACAAGCATTACCATCTACCTGAAATCGCGGGTCCGTTAATAACACTTTTCAATGCAAAGAAGTGTAATCTAGGTACGAGGTAAGTGAAAATATTTAATTTTTCAGAACGAAATCGGAGGTGTTCCTCGCTATTTATACACGTTTTTATGCATTTTAGGGAAGGAATCTACGTACCGATATTAACCCTTTCTGTCCCATGTCCCGAACCGAAGCATCTGGACCGAAATTCGGTCCAAAATCGGGAAACCGTGACACCTCTAATTCGCCATAACTGCGAAATACCTTTACATATTTTTCGCCACCTCCTTCGAAAATTCGCGATTGGCGAATGGCGAACGTCTACCGTGATCTCTGTATAACACTAAATATTCCAAATATTGAATACACAGACAGACCCATCTGAATTCTTACCTCTGGCGGTGGTGGTTCTGGTGGGAGAGGCGGTTTATCATCTGTTGACTCTGGGGTTGGTGGTTCAACTGGGGGTGCTGGATTGATTCCATCTGAGGGTGGGGAAGGTCCATCTGGCGGTTTTGCTGTGGGAGGGGGAGCAGTTCCATCAGGTGGGGGTCCACTTGGAGGTGGAGGAGCATTTTGCTGTTGTTGTTGATAATATTGGTTCCAGTACTGCTGCTGTTGCATCGGATTCATTCCTTGCATTTGTCCAGGTGGTGCACCCATAAGTCCGGCTGCCGCGGGGCCTTGTTGGCCCCATTGGCCGCCCCATTGGTTAAACATTTTAGAGTTATTGTTCAACTTTCTTCACGCTTCTTTTTTCTAAAATGTCATTCTCGATTAAAATCTCGTGCACCTTGAGAGTCTGCGAGATTGAAAAGTAAAAAACATATGCTCCCAGTGTACTTTAACCCTTCATCTTTGATCTTTTTGCATTTTGCCCTGTTAGCTTATAAGGAGAATTAGATTCCACTTTTCTCATTGACGAATAGTTTGAATATGGCATATAGACGTGTAGTACAGTATGGAAGAATAGTGACAAGGGCAATAACTTGTTCATCTCCGCCGGGAAACATTGGAAGTTCAAAAATCAATATCAAAACATTCACATCAGCCTCCATGCCAGGGTTGGATTTTCAATGCTTGGAATATGAAGTCAAAGATAAAATTGCCAATATAAAACTCAACCGACCAGAGCGAATGAATGCAATAACCGCTGGTATGACATTGGAACTACAACAAGCAGTAGAAATGGCCAATATGGATGATTCTGTCAAGGTAGACCTATAGTCTACAAAAAATTCATGATTGTGTTCTAAATTGTGATAAAACTGTACAAATTGTACGATATTGTGTTGATAACAATTTTGGCGCTGCGATAAATTTTGGCTTTTTCAGTAATAATACCCTGGTACCGCATTTCTCACCATATTTCTATCTCCATTTCACAATTCGCATCACTAATTGTTCAATTCTCTTATGTTTCAGTTAATTGTGCTATCAGGAAAAGGTGGAAACTTTTGCTCTGGATATGATTTGAAAGAATTCGCAGAGGGTGACCGCAACCATCCATGCAACCAGGAAATGCCATGGGACCCTTACCTTGACTACCGCTTCATGTCACGGGCAACAGAGTGTTACATGAGTTTATGGAAGAGCCTGAAACCAGTCATTTGCAAAATAGATGGAGTAGCAATCGGTGGTGGAAGTGACATGGCATTGTGTTGTGACATCACAGTTATGGCTGAGGATGCAGTAATTGGTTACCCCCCTTCAAGAATTTGGGGATGTCCTACCACTGCAATGTGGGTATACAGAGTTGGTATGGAGAAAGCCAAAAGAATTCTTTTCACAGGGGAACTGATTCGCGGTTCAGAAGCTGCAAAGATGGGATTGATTGGGGAAGCTGTACCAGCTGAAAAATTAGAAAGTGCTGTTGATAAACTTACATCGAGCATGGTAACTGTACCATCCAATCAGCTATTTTTTCAAAAACAAGTTATCAATCAAGCTATTGAACAAATGGGTCTATTTCAAACACAGCGCCTGGCAACCATATTTGATGGTATGGCACGTCACACTCCCGAAGGTGTTTTATTTCAGAAAAGGTGCCAGGAGGTTGGCTTTAAGAAGGCAGTAAGGGAGAGGGACAGTGGTGCTGAGACTGTGTGGTCTTCTCTCACAAAGAGCAAACTGTAAAACTATTTCACTAATGTGAGATAGACCCTATATTATTTATCTAAAAAAAATGACCAAGAACAACCACTTTGTTCAATCTTATCTGAGTATAAAAAAAATGACCAAGAACAACCACTTTGTTCAATCTTATCTGAGTATGTAAAGTGAAAAAGCAGAATTTTCAAATAACTATGGATGACTGAGTAATTAGTTTTCAAATTAAGTTGGAACTTCATGGACTTTTATTTCAGTTTAGGTAATAAACCAAAGATGGCGCTACTTTAGTGTTACATTAATTTTGACTCAGTCAGTTCAGTAATTGATGCAGATTGTCACCAATCCCTTTCAAAGATTCAAATAATGTTCTTAAAAGAGCATTTAATTATTTTATATGGTATCCAACAGTTGTAGATAAAGCAGTTAAATGGTATAACTTCTTTATCACCATACAGTATACTAGTTCTAGTATGATAGATAGACAAAATCTGAAAATGTCATTTGTCACTTGAATTTTTCAAAAAATAATTATCTTCAGGAAAATTATTGCATATTTAGTTTGAAACATGAGACTGTAGAATAATGAAAATGAAAAATTCCTCTTATGAACCCTTCAATCGTTTCAGAGTACAAAGGTAAAAACTTAGTATTACTATTATTTGCCAAGCAATCTTAGATTTTATAGTTGTTAGATTAAACCAGTCATGTCAGTCATTGTTCTATGGAGAGTCGGACAGTCCAAACGAAAAATCTTATTCTTGTATTGTTCATTTTATACAATTTTTGGTGAATTACTTGTTAATATTTAATCAATTGTTCCCTTATTCGTAACATATAAAATTCAAATACTGTAGATACACTTCATTTGGATTGAATTTTCATTTGACGAATTCAGAAAATCCGCCATATTAAAAATCCATCAAATTTCAGTTCGGAATTTTTGTCCAATGCACTTCAGAAATTAAACTTCTTGGCCCCCCTTTTCCTGTCAACATGTCATCAATTCTACTTTATTCCAAAAGAAATACAGAATATATGTCGGTAAATACCTGTCCTAATAACATAAACATAGAATCCGCCAAATTAAGTAGCCACCAATATTTGAAATTGAGCAAATCCGTCAAATTAAGTAGAGTCAAAATAAGTGTATCTAGAGTAAACAAAAATTAAAGGTATATTGTCTGCATGATATGCCATTTTGAAATATATGATTATCTCAAATCATGTTTCTTTACTGTAGATTGCATACATGTACTGCCCAATTTCAAGATAGTCTGTGACACAGAAATCTTTTAATTTTCAGCTATTAGTTATGGATCAAATTAAACAACCTCCAAGCTCCCAGTCCCAATGCTGCTTTAATTTCATGTTCTTGTTTTCAGTCAAATAATAAATTGGCCTTGTTATCTCAATTTAACAATACAAAGTTTTATGGGATATTTTTTCTATTTATTTGTTTGGAATGACTATGTTACACGCTTGTTGTGGTATATCATTTATATAATACAATTATATACCAACATACATTGCCCAAAATTGAAGAATTGAATATAAAAGACCCACTATACAAGAAGTATACACAGAGTAGAGAACCTTGTATACCCTTCAAATCCATGCAAAACATATCACAACAACCATGATTTCCAAAGAATGTTCAAGGATTCAAACAGGATGGCATGTATTTACTCAAGACTGCACAGAAATGCTGGAAAATTGATCATTTCTCACAGTATTCTCGTAAGCAGAAGGGACACGACTAAAGTGATATATTTTGGATGGTTATATGTACATTCAATTCTGAATCACTTTACTTTATACACTAGATCATATTACACAAGCAGCTCATTACAGGCGCCATAATGGATGGTTTATTATTAGAAAACAGAAAATGAAATATGAATTTTTGGTCAACACAAACAAAATAATTAATACATTAGCGATTGCAAAGTGATTTTTTTTTACTAAAGATACTGCATTTTGTGACACATTGTCGAGCTTGCTTTATACGACCAAGCATTTTTGTGTAAGAGTCGAGCTTTGCCTAATGACCTTTTGATAACATTGTCAAACATAGCGATTGATAAAACTATGTATAATATATAACAAAATTTAAATTAGATTTGAACTACATATTACTACTGTATAACTATAATATACATTGAAGGCATGCCAATTATACTCTTAACAATACATCAAAAAATCATTTGTTGTGTCGGAGAAATTCTATAGATGGAATTTCTAGTTTAATACACGGCAAGTATAACCAAGATCAGGGAACATCATTACTTTCATGAAAATAACAGAAAATTCTCAGATTTTATTTTACAGAAATGGAGGGAATGGGACAAAGTACAATTACTAAGTTAAAAAAAACTATCAATTTATACAATGACCTGGATGCAAGTGAGATGGTAAATTGTTTCACGACACTCTCAGGGCTCACAATTTCCCAAGAGAATATATGAGAACATGAGATTTTGATACAAACGTTAAACAGACTGGAAATTTCTATGATTAAGGATCACATATCTGTAATTTACATGTACATGTCTAGTCTCTTATGAACACATAGCTCTTGTACATTTGATGAAATATAATAAATAACTGTGGACATAAGCTGACCATGTTATATAAGCATAAACATGGACTGTGACAAATAATACAATTTACAATACAATACACCATTATTATTTATCAAGTGCATACAACATGATGCCCAATGACAGCCTTTGAATTGAAATGAATATAATGAAACACTTACAAATGCCAACATTTTGAAAATCCCAAGAATTTTATTGAACTCTCAGGAATTTATCTTTGAAGTTGGAGTCTGCAAGAATAGATCTTGAAAACTTTGCAGATCTTCAATGTTTTGAAAACTTGAGATCACACGCACTTTACGAGCAAACTGATATCATTACATGTTTAAAAATGTACAAAACTGAGACATTTCAAGTTCACACGACACTCAAGTATGAAACTGCTGATGGTTCTGCAAAGTTGTCATCTGTCACTCAGATATCATGGTGATCATACTTTCAAGAGAGGAACTGAGAAAATGAGAAAATCTGTTGAACGACATAAATTTCACATATCAAAATTTCTTAGAATCCACCATATTTTATGTTAGGTTTATGCTTATGACCACCAAGATATCCTTACATATTTGTCTGATTGTGTTTGATATGTAGGGACATGTAGCATTATCCCACTAGACCTATTAGTATTGCAACGTCCACACATCACTGGCTTTATCCGTGTCTGTTCCTCCATGTGTCTCCACACGAGTGCGAGTGTAATCCCCTTGAGTAAACATATACATATATAATAGCTGATCATTGTTGATGTTGATGAACATAATTTCCTTTTGATATTTATACCATTAAAAGGTCACATGACGATCCTCCCTCCCCCCAAATAAGTCATTTGACATCCGCTACACACATCCTCCAAATAGTAGCAATCATAAATCATCCTAGAGTTTTCACTACTATTTCTCATCAACAACATCCGCCACCTCCTTGCTTTACTGGCGTACTCGCATTTATCTTCACATTACTTTTGTTGTCTGCAGCCGTGGTCACTGGACCCATTCGGTTTTTAATTTCAGCAGCCATTGTCATAAAGGCTTGTTCTACATTTGTAGCATTCTTTGCACTCGTTTCTAGGAATGGAATTCCTAATTGGTCTGCATATTCCTGGAATAAAAAGTTTTTCACCAATTAGATGACATTGTCAAACTCAAACAAGACTTAAAAATTATTATATGAAACATTCACAATACCAAAGACAGCTACCTTTATTATAATGTACACTCCTCATGTGACATAATGTACTTATATGTTACATTTGTTCAAAGTGATTACATGTACAGTAAAACCTATAGTGAACAATTTTTTGCCAAGAAAAAATGTTCACTGTTGGTAGGTGTTCACTACAGTAAGGGTTTGATTTCGTGGCATTTTGCCATATTATATAAAAGAGACCAGCTATTAAAAGAGAGGAGGGAATATTTATTTATTATTTAGATATACACTTTTTTAACAGTGGCACTCTTACATGAAGGTACATGTAATCGAAAAATATCCACAATTCCATGTTGGTTAAAACAGCACATTTTATCAAACTAAAATGAGTCTTAAAAAGAATTAAAACATATTCATATTTGAATAATAAATTTAAATTGTATTTTCTACCCATATTAACCCATGACACTCAAGTGTTAAGTATCTAATTTGTTGTAATGCTATATACAAACTGACTTATTTTAGACTGACTGTCATCTGAATGGTTCATCCTTTTATTGTCAAATTTTTATCTCTATATAATTCTTTTTATCTCATCAAGATGATCCTTTAAATAGTGGAATTTTTGAGACATTTGAGTCAGTTAAAGGACTTTATTGAATTAGTTAAAGGACATGATAGATGCAGTTAATAGTGAAATGATCATGAATTATAATTTTGATCCAAACGTTTTTTTAAATTGACGGGATGAGAAAAAAGATTAAGTTGGGACTTAGCAGATAGAGGTAATAATAGTTAGCTAGATTATCTCCAAGCAATCAATCCCAGACGCATATCCTTTGTAACAAAAACAAGGCATTAACATGACAAAATGTCACCACCTAGTTGCTCTCAATATTATGAGTTCAAACTTAAGTCAGATTTGAATTTCTGAGAACTTGTAAAGTCAAATTTGAACTTCTGAAAAGATGTAGATGATTTTGAAAAAAAAAATTTGGTCAATTTGAAGCAAGTTGAAAACAGACCTTTTTGACCTTTTTTGACCTTGAGAAGGTCATTAAAGGTCAAATGTCAAATCTAAAGTCAGATTTGAATTTCTGAGAACATGTAGATGATTTTGAAAAAAAAATTAGTCAATTTGAAGCAAGTTGAAAAAAGACCTTTTTGACCTTTTTTGACCTTGAGAAGGTCACTGAAGGTCAAATGTCAAATCTAAAGTCATATTTGAATTTCTGAGAACATGTAGATGATTTTGAAAAAAAATTTAGTCAATTTGAAGCAAGATGAAAAAATACCTTTTTGACCTTTTTTGACATTGAGAAGGTCATTGAAGGTCAAATGTCAAATCTAAAGTCTAAAGTCAGATTTGAATTTCTGAGAACATGTAGATGATTTTGAAAAAAAATTTAGTCAATTTGAAGCAAGTTGAAAAAAGACCTTTTTGACATTTTTTGACTTTGAGAAGGTCATTGAAGGTCAAATGTCAAATCTTAAGTCAAATCTAAAGTCAGATTTGAATTTCTGAGAACACGTAGATGATTTTGAATTTTTTTTTAGTCAATTTGAAGCAAGTTGAAAACAGACCTTTTTGACCTTTTTTGACCTTGAGAAGGTCATTAAAGGT